TCCATTATGTGCTGAAGAGAAAAAACCGCGGCTATATAGACCCTAAAGGTATCGGGCACATATATATATATATATCCCATGAAATCCCACCTGGAGCTGCACTCTTTGGTGAAGCATGTAAACACATGGTCAAAAGGCTTCAAGGAGATTATCACCAAGGCTATTTGTGAGGTCCACGAAAACACGATTACAAATAAGGAGGAGCTGGCGCATTAAATATTAAGTTATCAAAATTAACAAGTGAGCAGAAGGAATCGTGGAAGAAACACCTCTTGAACGACCACCAGCCCTGGCGAGCTGACTGTTCTGTATGCATCAATGCTCAGGCCACGGGTTACCAGCATCGCCGACGACTACATCCAAGCATGTTTACGGCCGGACCCTTCAAACAGAAGGGAAGAGACAGGGATCACGAGGACTACAAGTACTTGATGTTCGCCGTCTACAGATGCCCAAAGGGGTATATGAGTTCCAAAGCCATCTCGGACTATGAGGCTGAAATGCATGTCCCGGACGAGCCAGATGAGATGGAGGAGGATCCTCTGGCCCTAGAAGATGAAGATCGCTCTGACGGCGAAGATGGTTTAAGAGAATCGGGAGGAGAAGATGAAGCAGCGCCTCAAGGTCCAGAAATGCTGGATGAAGCGGTGGAGCAGCTAACAACGCCTGCAGAAGCTGCAACGATTTGTGCTACGAGACCACTGAAGAGGAGGACTGCGGCTCATGCTCTTGTAGGGCCGACATGTATCCGGCCTACACAGTGATCGGGCTCGCGAGTTCAAAGCCAACGCCTTCAAGGAATGGACTGTACATGCAGGACTGAGGCATATAAAAACGGCTGGTGGAGATCCCTCTGGAGATTCTACGGAAGAACTTGGCATCAAGTGGGCAAAGACGCGAATGAGATCCTTAATTCAAGCCTCGGGAGCACCTCACAGAGATTGGCCAATGGCAGCAGCACGCGCTACGGCCTGATAATCCTTACAAAGAGTGTCAAGTTCAACGTCATTGATGTTCACAACGACAAGGAACTTCGTGATCTACTACCACCTGCAGTTGCACAAGGAGTTGCTGATGAAGGGAGGATACTGAGATCTCACCCTGCAAAAGGCAGCTGGTGGAGGAAATTGAGTTCCAGTCGAGAATGGTGTTGGAGAAGATCAACGATGTCCTCGACATCTACTAAAAGCTCGAAAGCCTTGGAGGTACCGACCGGAGAGTGAGGACGTTAGATCATGGTTTAGAGGGGCATTTGTTCATGGAGGAAAGGCTGGGCCAAGGAGCAACGTTGAGAACTCTCCTCAAACGAGGAAGGTTTTGGCTGAGTTTGCCAAGAAGTGCTCGAATAGATTAAGCAACATTGTCGTGCCGCTTTTTGAGCGAGGCAATTCATGGGTTCAAGGTGATGAGGTTGAGGAGGAGAAGTGCGTCAAGAAGGTGCTCCCCAAAGCAAAAGAGATAAAAGGCCGGATCCTTGAGTTGAAGAGGGGTGTGGCTACTTCTTTCCGACCTCGTGCATGGCATGAAGTGCAGCCTTGGGTTGGTGAACAACTTGTGTTGCTGATGTGTGCGCCAAGGTCTACGAATTTGTCCGATGAAGGTGTTGAAAAATTGGGCCTTGACTTCAAACCAGAGTCTCTCTCCGAGGAGGGCGAGTAGGAATCTTCGGATGAGGAGGAGGACGAGCTCAAAGTGAAGATTAAGATGATGTCGGTTCGAGGAGACCAAAAGCCGCCTATGACCTTTGAAGACATCTGCGATGAGGATCTTCTACCTGGCGGTGATCAAGACTCTGTCGCGGCCGAACGGCCAACCCACGCTGAAGCAATACGGAATGAGGTCCAGTATACCCCTGACATTGAAAAGGTTCTTCAGGACTTGCCCAAAGAAAACCAACCGCTACAGGTCACCCACACGGTGAGCTTACAAGAAATCAGAAAAAGCCCGGACGCATGGAGTCAATCTGCGTGGATGGAGTTCAAGAACCTTACAGAGTCCAAAAAGGCTTTTTGCAGGTCACGAAACGTCACCTACCACCACCGGGCTGCCGAATCTTTCCGTGCAAAGGTGTCTACACAGTCAAACCAGACAACGGCGATCCTGGATACCGTCGAATGACAAGATTTGTGGCAGGCGGCAACCATGTGCCAGAATATGAGGAGACTTTCGGCCTGCCTGTGGCATTACAGCCACCTAGCATTTCCTACGAGCTGGGACTGGCGGAAGAAGGACACATGTGGCTGGTGGAACAAGCGATCTACCGTCTCAGAGAGTCACCTGCGATGTGGAGTCAGTATAGAGACTCACAGTTGGCACTGGCGAGGTGGACCGTCGAGGTGAACGAAAGCCCTATTACCATGAAGCTCGAGCAGATGATCACTGACAACCAGGTGTTGCGCATAGCGAGAGAAGACGGTCAAGGAGATCCCTACGGATACCTGCCAGTGTGTGTGGAGGACTTGCTTGTCAACGGCGCAGATGCTGCAATGTGGGGTTTCTTCGAAGGCTTTCCTCAAAATGGGAGGTTGACGAGCTCGATGTGCTTGGCATCCTATCAAGTTCCTGGGCACTGAGCTACACAAGGTGACTGGCCGGGCCGAAATGGCTCAAAAAGGCTTCGTGAAAGAACTTGTGCGAACCTACGGTCACAATGGAGCCAGATCTGAGTTGCAGGGTTCGCGTGAAACAATGATTCATTTGGATGAGGAAGAAAGGGCCCTGATAGATGCAGAGCCTGTCGACACTACGGGCAAGGAAGGTGTTATCGAAGCTCAGCGTCGTGTCGGAGAACTACTGTGGCTGATGGCTGCAAAGGTGCAGGACCATTGCAGACCGAAAGTCGTCTCCGAAAAAATGCCCACCTGTATGTGGGTTCGGGAAGAATCCCACAAGCAACTACGAGCCTGGGAAGCGGAGAGACTGTACCAAGCAGCCGCCGGGGTTAGGGCCCGCAGCTAGCAGAAGCGAAGAGGCAGGGGCCTGCAACAGACACTGCACTAGCCTAGCTAAGGGGCGGCAGGCGCTGCAACCCGGCTGTACGTAGGTTTGACCTACTCGGAGCCCCGCGCTGCCCGAGCAGAGACTAGAGAAGGGCGAGCAAGGGGCAGAGGCTTGACAGACCCAAGCGGAGGCCGGGCAGAGCCTACGGCTCGACCAAAAGGGCGGCGGGCCCAGGGTCTGGCCCTGACGCCAGGACGCGTCTCAAAACGGCGCGAGCGTTCTCGCGCTGTAGCGTTACTGCGAGCGTCTCATAGAGCCGGTTGGCTTCCACTGAGACAGGTTCTCCTGTTTGCGCCGCGATGGCTGCGGCCAGAGCCTGCCACGCTTTAGCAGCTGCAGGCCCCCAGCCGCCCCGGCACTCAACGACCAACGGGATGAATTGGAGGCCTTGGGCAGTGCATTGATCCTGCGTCTGCAGGTGACTGCGCTTGTGAGCTTCGTAGTCAAGCACAACGTGGTCGGCGCCCTTGAAAACAAGGCTTTGCAGGTTCCCATGGCGCAGGCCGGCAGTAACGGCAAGGTCGAAGGCAGCTGGGCCATGCACACCCCAAAGTGGCACGTAGACGTCTGCTGCGCGGCGGCCAGGGCCCTGGCGGACCCGGCAAACCGTCCTGCTCGGAGCGGGGCGGTAGCAGGCCCGGCTTCTCGACCTCTGGGTGCAGACCGGCGGCCTGGGCGCGAGCCGCGAGCACTGTGCGCAACCGGTTGTGGCGCTTTGTCCTGTCCCCGCCGCAGGGGCAGCTGTGGGCGTGGTCGCCAAATCTATCGGCGACCCCATCGCAGAGTGGGCAGGCCACGTCTTCAGTCGCGACGGGGAGCCGTAGGCGGAGCTTGATCAGCACACGGAAGATGTCTGGGGCGAGGGCAAGGCCCAGCGCCTCACTCGGGACGGCCTGGAGCCATGCTCCCGCCCGAGGCTGTCGTTGCAGCTGCAGGTTGGCTCTGAAAGCCTCGCGGTTGGGACCGGGTGTGAGGAGCTGCTGGACCGCGGCCCGGTCTAGTGCCTGGGACAACTGCTGTTGTCGCACGGTAAGTGGCACGGGAGTCGGGAGACGGTCGGCAGCGAGCACATGTCCGCTCAAGGGCGTGACTGTTATGCCGTTGAGGGGCCAGGCGGGCAAGTAGGACGGGTCAAGAGCCAAACAACGCTGCAGCACGGCACTCAGAGAGGCAGTGTAGGCGGCCGGTGCGTGTCGAGCCGCGTGCCGCAAACCCAGGCCGCCATTGGCTGTGCTGAGGGAGGCCTGGAGCCACGCCTCGCTAGGAAGCGGCCCGGTGCAGAAGTGCTCAAGGCAGGCCCGGACGGCCGAGTCAAAGTCAGAGGCAGCCCCGGCCAAGAGTTGGGGCGGCGTCACGCGCAATGCAAAAACCATGCGGCTGTAGGCGGCACAGTGGCGAAGGAGGAGGAGGAGCGCGGTTTGTGGGTCGGGCAGCTCCTGCAGAGCCTGCAAAAGAAGGGTCGCCTTTTCCACACGCTTCGTGCGAGTGAATTCCTCCGTGTAAGCTTGTGGCCCGATAGGCGCCCCCAGCAGGCAAGTGGCGCCAGTATGGTTCACCTGGATGCCGGCCGGGAAGGCTCTCCGGTCAACAGTGCCATCAGGTCCCGCGCAGACGGTAAGCACGCACTTGTTCGGGGAGAGTTCCAACCGACCTGCGGCCGCGAGGCGGGTGAGGCCGGCAGCAACTTGAGGGGCGCCGCCCGCGAGACAGGCATCATCAAGGAAGGCGAAAGTAAGCTCAGGAACCTGTCCCGCTGCGCCCGCGGCAGCGGCCCGCAGGGCTGGTTGCAGAGTCAAGGCAAACAGCAAAGGGCCTAGAGGGTCCCCTTGCTGGACCCCGGCCTCGGACAGCAGAGGAGAGTGGTGGAAGAGCAAGCGCGAGTGGTGGTCGTAGCACCACTCGGCCCGCGGCGCGAGGCCAGGCATGTGCAGGCGGACTTGACGGAGCATGGCCGCTCGGTCGATGGTGTTGAAAGCATTCCGAAAGTCCACCTGCAGAAAGCATTTGTCCGCGTGGCCGGTGTGCGCTGCATCCACTGCCTGGCGGTGTGAATGGCGGTTTCTGTGCCGAGCGGGACCGCAACCCCAAGTTGGAGGGGCCACAGGTTCTGGGCGGCAGCCTCGCGCAGCGAGGAGCACAGGCATTTGCCGGCGAGACGGCGCCAAGTCTCGCCCACTGCAATCCGGCGAACATCGTCACCGCCCTTTGGCATGGCATGCTCGGTAGCCCCCGCCAGGTGCGGAGCGAGCTCGAGCGGGGCCTCGCCGCGCACTAGTATCCTGATGACCTCGGTGAGGTGTGCTGTAAGTAACTTCGTCGGCATGGGCGGTTGACAAAGCCTCACGGACATGGTCGCCGCGAAGGCCAGTGGGGCCAGGGGCGCTGCCGCGCCGAAACCCCCGAACAGCTTTGAGCACCTCCGCGGATGAGATGTCGGGCACGTCCCTCCGTGACGGGGGGCCCTGCGATTGCAGACCAGGGCGAGCCGGGCTGGCATGCGGGTGTTTGGCGCGAAGTGAGTTGAGCACTTCGGTTGACTCGGCGAGGAGTGGGGGGTCGACCAGGGCGGCGCATGCACGGGAGAGCTCGCCCTCACCAGCCAATGAGATGCAACGGGCATGACGGCGGGCGAGCACGGCGGCCTCGTCTTGCTCGGAAGCCTGTTTGGGTCGGCGGGCGGGGCCCTCGGACCACAGCTCCTCCCGCTCACCTTCAAGCCAACGGGCGCAGCAGCGCTGTGTGAAGCGAGCGGCCTGCTCGCGGCGGCGGGCCCCTCCTCGCGGGGCGGGCCGGAGGACCGTTTTGGGCAGGATGAGGAGCTCGCGCCATGCACGGAGAGAGTTATGTCCAGCAACCTGGGCGAGAGCGCGGGCCAGGCATTGCGCCCAGGCCCCCCGAGCCGCCTTGGGCACATGGCGCAACACGGGGATATTGGCACTGAAGATGGTGGCTAGGTCAGGCAGGCCGTCGATGTCAGGAGCATTGCCTCCCCCCACAGGGTGCGACGCTGGGCTTGGCACAGCAGTGCGGGCAAATGGCCTGCAGCGGGGGTGTACTCCGTTGAAGCGTGCAGCGACAAGCATACCACAGACGGAGCAGTTGTCCAGGCCATGCGTGCGGCAGTAGTCAGCAGGAACGGCGCCCCGCAGCACTCCGCCAGAGTGGGCATCCAGATGCGGGCGCATTGATGCATGGGTGGGCCAGCCACGCGCGGTGGAGGCATCCGCCGACGGGCAGCCAGGAACGGGGCAGTACACACGGCTTGAGCTGCTGGCTCGGGCAGGGGAGCGCTCACGAGGCGGATCGCCAGGGCCGGGGTTGAGCGCCTCCCCAATGCGCTGATTGCGGTAAGGCCATCCAGACCAGGCTCGGGGCTGGCGGCACCAGGACGCACGCTGCTTGCGGAACAGTGTGCGGGTAGGCCTGCGAAGGCGAACACAGCAGCGGCGCCCAAGTCCTTGCAGGGGGTCCCACTCCGGGCTAGGATCCACAGGCGGCCAGTAGCAAGAGTTGAGAAAGGCTGTGAGCTCCCGCCGCCGCTGGCGATTCAGTGGCGCGACAAGCCTGTGCGGCGAGGAGGCTTCATGCGAGGCAGGCCTGCCGAAGAGCGCCAACGTCAGGACAGGCAGTGCAGAGTAGCTCAGGGCCAGCAGGAGAGGCGCGACGAAGCCGGGGGACGGAGCCATGGCTTGAGCCTTGAGCCACATGGGCCGTACAATGCCAAACCTACAGCACGCTAAAAAGGTAGGAGAACGAATCCTCGAGATCCTCCACTACCGGTTGAGCTTTGTACCCAATGAGCAGAGGTTGTACGACACCAACCAGGAGAAGGTCAACACGCAGACTTGGGGACGAAGCCGTTCTCGAGAGAAAGACTTAAGCAGCTGGTGACAATGTGGGGTTTGAAGGACCGAAGGCCTCCCTGGTCAACAGCGAACGTCAGCAACTGTCAATCCTTCATGGTTGTCAACACTGTTGATGATGTGCCAGATTTGTGGATCGGTCGGCCAAAAGGACGATGTAAAGACAGAAGCTCCTTGGGACTTGTATGTCGCTATTCTCTTTCTTTCGATTGCTGCAATTGCAGTATGGGAGGGTGGAAGAAGCTGTCTACGTCCAAAGGACTCTAAGTGCCCAAGCTGATCTATCAATGAACTCTGGAAAGCTCACAGAAACCAGCTTCAGGAGCTAGAACAGATGTTGATAATCGAACCGGCAGGCTTGACTGCCATGCAGAAGCTGCAGCTGATCGAGCTGCAAAAAAGATACAGTGAGACGTGCCCCAAGGATGTTCACCGACACCAAGATTTCCACGTGAGATGTTTCAGGCAGGTCAGTCTTGAACGTCCTCGTCTTCCACTAACCACCCTTTGAAGCACAACAAGGAGCCCAAGGTGAAGGAGACAAAGAATGCCGAGACTCAAACCGATGCTCCAGCATTTACAAGGGTTGAACCACCGCAGCCAAAGCAATCCGAACACATGCTGGTGCGTCGCTGTTGTGATGAAGGTTGATCTGTGACTGTCTGGAAAGCTGACATGAAGATCGACTTATGCTTCTGCCCGTGCAGTGGAACCAAGGAGTGCCGAAATCAGCATTCCAGATTTGATGTACATCGTTTGCTTTGTGAGCTCTTGGATGTACAACTTTGTACTGAGACCATGCTCAAGCATGTGTGTAGCGGCCTGCCAAGCAGACTTTAGGCCTAGAAGGCAAATCGTTAGATTAGCTTCGGCGGAGACGTGAACTAGAGCATAAAAAGGATCCTTCGCAATGTGTGTCGGCGCCTTTCTTGGAAGAGCATAAGACCGTCACCGGAAATTCGAGAACTTGTAGCCGGAATGCGAGCACGAACCCTGAACAGACCACAACGTCAAAGTCAAAGACGCACCCAGCACGAAGAATTGCCGAAATGGAGTTAACAAAAAAAACTCGTCTCCGAAATCCAAAAGCCTCTGAAGGCATGCTTCTGTAAGTTGCTCAACCGAGCCTTTGCTTTGAGACCCTCCGCCAACAACTCGAGTCGCCTTCGACAAGCACTTCTTGCGGCGGCTGCATGTCTACTGCTTGTGGGATAAACCCTGGAGTTAGAGGGAAATTTTCCCTCTCGCAGTTTCATGGAATTTCATCTAAGCCTCTTTGGCTCTATGGGTCTCATAGGAGCCTTGCAGGGCTTTGGCCTTCCGTCTCTACGACGCCCACAGACTGGAACCCTTAAACCTAGGCTCAGGAACATGGCATGCGGGCAGCGCAAAGCCAGAACGATTCTTGTGCACCTCTCGCGGAAGTCGCTGCGCTGCGCATTGGGGCCGGCACCCCCGGCCAGAATCATCGCCTCCGTTTCTTAGGGTCCTGCTTTCGACCCTCACAGCTTGGCGCACCGATGAAGGGTTTGTGGCAAAGTAGGTCTGACAATGCGATAGCCTGAGAGGTATCGGTTCACAGGTTCTTGACGGAGATGGTAATTTCCCGCGTAACGCTCTCCCGAATGCAAAAACAGGCAAGCCCATACCCGAGGGAGAATGTCTCTTGATGGCTGTCCCAGGGTTTTTGCCCTCACCCCGGTTGGATCCCGATTCAAACGTCGACCCTGGAGGGCTCTGGGCAGAATCGATTCGAACTCTCCGCGCTCTTGAGCTCCCTCATTTGGAACCATGTTGCTTTAGGAGGCTATCATTCCGGAGGGCATCTGCTTGTTGAAAGGGGCCTGCGTCGGAGTGCATCCCGAGGTAATCCTTCCAGCCCCAAACATTCCAGAGACCGCGAACATCGCGAGCAAAAAAAACAAAGGATACGTCGGATATGCCGAAGTCAAGGAATGCCTATGCACCGACGTCATCGGAACCTGGTAGATTCTCAGAGATCTTGAAACCTCCGTATGGCACTCCATACGACCTGACGACATGCAGAAGACTAACACGAAGGAGCTGGGACAAGAAACATTGCCGGCGTTGTCATCCTGCAGCCTCATCGACCGTCGCGGCAGCTGCGATGCTTCGAACCAAAGCGTCTTCCTCGCCAATGAAGGGAGCCGCCTGAGCGGATTTTGCGACTCTCTAGGGCTTTAGGATATTCGGGTTTCGGATACCAAAACCTGGAAGAAAGGCAAGAGACAATTCTGCCATGAGGTGCTAAGGTCGTAGCAAAAAGACATGCCCACACGAAGTCACCAGGTTCCAAGGTATTTCTGCCTAAGTCTGCACCGGGTTCTATTTCGTAAGGACTTGCCAATCAATGCTCAGAGAAGCAATTGTCAACCGCCTTGAAGGTTCTTCAGGCCAGTTTCTGCCTGAAGCCAAAAAGCCACATTGCAAAAAGTTTTAGAGGAGTCGTAGCAACGATATTCAATGGGGTGTCAGACGACTGCGGCCTGTACTACAGCATATAGGGAGTATGACGAAGCCCAGTCGGAACATTAGTCTCATTCTGAGCCGCAAGTCTGCACAGAAGTTGAGATGCGAGAATTGATGAGAATCTGTGTACCATGGTGGGCTACCTGCAAGAATAAAAGCAAAAAAGCTGATCCTAAGGACCCGGGCCTGGCGGCCTGGCTGAGAACCCCTCATCGCCTAAATTCATCTCTGAACCTGAGGGTTTAGGGTTTAGGGGTTTAGGGTACAAGGTTCTCAAAGGGAAAAAAGGAAGCTCCCGATTCTGAGAGTATCCCTCGAGACCCCTTTATCACCCCTGTCGGAACCCTTCTACACTTCATAAAAGCACGCCTGCCAGTAGTGCTCCAGGCTTGGGAAACCTGGGTCTCTGCAGGCGCAGCGGTCTCACAGCACTTACAAGCGTGTGTGTGTGTGTACATACATACATACATACATACATACAGAAGTATGATATAAGTATGATATAATATAGTATGATATAGCATAATATAGCATAATATAATACAACAAACTGTAATATAATATAATAAAATATTCTATCATATAATATAACATAACATAACATGAGATACTATAACATACTGTAATATAATATCATATCATATAATAGAATAGAAAAGAATATGATATAATATAATATACACACATAAAAAATAACCAATGAATAACTTAATTCAATGAATAAATCAAAAAATCAATATACATATATATATATATATATACATGTGTACATACACACACACATATACACATATATATATATATATCTGGGGCTCCCACCTGGCAACGTATATATATATATATGCATACCTGGATGTGGCTGTGTCCCTGCATATGTACCTGTTGGGTTGGTTATGGTAGGCTGACACATGGATACGTTCAAAAGGGCGTTTGCCGTCTCGGGGATGGGTGTACGGCGCGGGGCCATCTAGCAGTCAAAGGTTCAGGCAACAGCCTATGGAAGTTGAAGCTGAAGAAGCGCTGCATGGTTCGGCCCAGGCTTCAGCACTGAATGGTGCAATCAC